CCTGCTTCTCATTCATCTGGCTAATCACTTGCTGTTCTGCTGGGTGTAAATTTCCTTTCAAATCCTGGCAATACTGATTCTTTTCTTTTGCTTGCTACTTAATTACCTTTTTCCTGAACCTCCTGGTAGAGTTGTGAAGAAAACTTAGGAGTAAAGTTAGGTTCTGTAGGTTCCAGTAAGTGCACGTTTGTGTTTGTGTGGTTTGGTTTGTCAGGTCTGTGGTAGGTTGGTTCCTACACTGTGTTGAGTAGACAGCTGTCCTTACTTAAGGCCAGAGTCACTGGCTAGCTAATGGCTGAACTGTAGTAATAGTTCTAGGAATGTCTGGTTAATATAACTAGTAATGAGCTAGCTAATGACTTTGTAGCTGAAGTGGCTCTTTCCATTATTAATGGCTGTGTTTTCTAATTATTTATAGCTCACGTTGACGCCAGCCCAGCAACAGTTATTGCTACAACAGGCGCAGGCACAGTTGCTGGCGGCTGCAGTGCAGCATTCAGCCAGTCAGCAGCACAGCGCTGCTGGTGCCACCATCTCGGCCTCTGCTGCAACACCGATGACGCAGATCCCTCTATCTCAGCCAATACAGATTGCACAGGTGAGGCTTGAGAGGGTGGAAAATAAAGAGGTTTGACTAATTGCATCATTCAAACAATATTTTTATTCTTTATTCAGTGAGTTTCTAGAGTCCTTGAGTACTGTTAGTCTTCCCTCATGCATCCTTGGCTGATGAGGTCGAAGTTGATAGTTTTAGCAAAGAGTGTGTACTGGCTGCTCATCAGTTGCACTGGGCTTCTGAGTTTGTTCTAGAATCTGACCAGATGCTTTATTTTCTGAATTTTCCTCTTTGTTGTTAGCTTGAGAAAGGAGAAAAGGAGTATAGAAAGATGCCCATAGAAATTACACTTGTCAAGACCTGTATGGATGGGAAGGGATACCTACGTATAACAGAGGATGCTTGTTAGATCTAAACAGCAAAATGATACAGCTGAAGAAAGGCAGTTTGACTTGACATGTTTGTGTGCTATTTTGGCTTGGTGCTTAACGCTCAGAGTTCAGTGACAAAGAATGGGCACTCTTGTGTGTCTAGAGAAAAACTTGCCAAAATGAGTCTGGTGTCGGAATCTGTCCAGTTTTATGGTCTGCTGCTAAAGACCCATTAATTCTTAATTCTGAAGAACTGCTTGCCAAGGAAGTTCTGCTTACTAGGAGCAGCAAAGATCCTCCTGGGTCTTCCAGGATTGGCTGAACTCAGTGTGGAGAATGCAGCGCCACTGACTCTACGCTTAACATGTATAGTGTGGAAACTCCTTAGACTTCTGGACAAGGGTAACCGAATGTACAGCATAGGCATCTTGAGTACTACTAGTAGGTGGTTGTGTTGCTGACACTGAGGTGTATCTTTCCATAGATTTAGGTTCTCAGTACATAATATTTCAGTTTGATTAGTCTAGCTGTGCAAAGTTTGTTGGATATCTAATCTCCAAAGTTGCTCCTTCTTACAGTGAGCAGGTTCTTTAAGACTGTCTGATGGTTTCTATTCAGACTGTTTTCACTTGCATTCAACTGGGATGAAGAGTCTAAAAAGTGAACATGAGGGCTGATTAAGTAAAAGAATGGAAATGCAGCGATTATCTGTGAAGTCCATTGGCAAAATGTGCTATTCCTTTATTGTGCTAGTCTACTAGCTGAACAACAGTCTGGTTGTGCTATCAGTTTTTTATTAGCTGAAGCGGCAAACTTCTGTAGTGTTGGTCTAAAAGTTCTGACCTCTCTGGCTGTCCTTACAGAGGCCAGAGTGATGCCATTCCATATTTAAAAGGCCAGTACTGATGTTGTCCACAGACCCCTCACACTGAGCCTCCTGGTGCACTGTGACGAGTCATGTGACTGGGTATTAATACTTCTTTTAGCAAAGGGTCCCACATCACTGTCATGGTTGGAGATGACTCAAGGATGCAGCATTCAAAGAACCTTGTAACTCCCAAGACCATCTCTTAATTTTATTAAGCCTTTGTCTGTAGCCAATAATACAGACAGATTTAAAGAAGAGAATGGGAAATGTCCTTGTCCAGGAAGTTGATGGTTAGCTTCTAACATCTCTCCATGCATCTGTCAGAGAGTTCCCATTTGATACTACGTGAGTCTTTTAACCTAAATGTAAGTGATCCACAGGTGTGTGCCTCTTGTCTTCCAGGTGTGCAGCTTAAGATAGCAAGGTCTGCTTTACCAAAGTGTGGAGCATTAAAATTTCACATTAATAAAATCTATACCTTGAACTTTCTGGCTTTACATTTGTCAAATATGCCACCAAATTAGTGGATACTTTTGAAGGCATTGTTGTGCGTGTGTGAGATGTTGCTAATCCTGCTCTTCCACTTCAGTGGGAAGCTATGAAAATGTGTGAAGCATTTACAGTTATTAGTTTAGTATTGCGTTTTTCTCCAGAACTTACAAAATCTTCAGAGAGGCATTTGAGAAGAGTTGAAAAGATCAGGCATGTGCCATCAAAAAGGAGTTTCTGAAGTGAGCATTGTCCAGTTTCTGCACATGGATGAGCTGAAGGCTCTATGAAAAATAGGTTGTGGTCATGTAGTTGCCACCATATAAAGTACTTGTAGCACAAGGGGAACAAATCAAAGATCCATTTGTTTTCTGGCATTTCTAATTACTTAAATGTTTGACTTGACAATTGATTTCTTTTAGGATAAGTTATTTTGATATATAAATGTAGCTTGGTTGAATCTTGTTAGCTTCTTCATATGGTGAAAGTGCAAGGCATAATTTGTGCAGGTGTTGGATATAATTTGAGATACTTTATGGAAAACTTCTATTGTCTCGGTTTGTAGGTGGATAACACCATGCTTTCTGATCCATCTTGACAATGATTTATAAACAGTGCTCAGCTTTGTTTGCATTGCTATTGTAAACATATAGCTGATTACACAAATAGCTGAATGTTTGTTTTAATTGATGATTTTTGAATAATTGATTAACTGGCAGGTCTCTGCAGCAGGGGGATTACCGTATTTATTTTAATTAACTAATTGCACAAGCATGACTTCTTTAATGTGCACTGCAGTTAATGTAAGGTATCTGCTGCAGCAGACTGGTAAGATGTTAGTGCTGCTGCTGGGCTGATGCTAAATTGTCACTAAACAGTTGTACCAAGTTTTAGAGTTCTTTGTAAACTTGTTTTCAGCATCTATGATCAGTGTTTATATGATGGAAACCTCAAAATGGCAGAGATGCTTAAGTTTGTACTGAAGTTGTGACTGGAGATAATGGCATTGAACTTAGAACTTGAGATGATTTTTTTTTTTTTTTTTAAAAACCAAACAACTCCCTCGTGTCAAGACATAGCACTTGGCAGATTATTCTGCTGAGGTAGGAGTAGGATTGTTTTCATCTTTCTAAATTGTTAGGCAGCACCAGAAGACATGCATGTTTCCCCAAAAGTCTTTCCGTGTCTTTCTACGTGCTTGTGGTAGTATACGGATTTTATCATTGAGGGGAAAAAAAAATCAGTATAGGAAAACAGTGTTGGGGTTGTTAGCATGGTTGCTGTTGGAAGATTTATTGTAATGCTACAATTAACTAAATAATAAAACTTTCCCAAGATAGAAATAAAGTTGGATTTCAAATGAATTTGATGGGCTGGTAGGGCTATTTAAGAGTGATTAGCCTTGGAGGTATTGTTTCCATTCTGTGTTACAGAATTATATTTCTGTATTTAAACAAGACTCAGCCAAGATACCATTTACCAAGGCAGATGCACAGAATGAGTTTGCTTATACCAGTTATCCCTGAGGCCTCAATTTAAAAACAGTTTTCTCATATTAAAGTGTAAGAGCCTGATGATAAGAGCTGTCATGTCTTAGCTGGGTACCCTGTGTTATGAATACTGTAGTCTTAAACAAAAAGCTCTCCTCCTTTGATCTTACAAATACACCACCACTGTTTCTATGTATTCTTTCTTGTATGTAACTCTATCTCCTGTGGTGGTGCTTCAAATCATCTGAGATCTACTTGGTCATCTGGGGGGGTTCATTTGTTTGCTTTTGGTGGGGGAAGGTCCTCAGCCTGTCTGTTTTTCTGTCCATACTTTTTTCTTCAAAAATTTCTTCCCAACTCTTCCTTTTGTGTTTCCACTTTTTCTCTTATCCACCTCTGTTTTCATCCTTTAGCCTCTCTTTCTTTCTTTCTTTTCCACCCAGTGTTCACAGCCTTAGTCTGCTTGCCCTGCCCTTTCTATTTCTGTTTCTTCCTCTGCATCAAGTCCTCGCATCCAGTTCAGTATGAGCCCCTCTGTGCTGGAGGGCTGCTGCTCAATCTGCAAAGGTAACCAGTAGAGCATTGAAAATCAATGAATAAAGGAGTTGTGTTGGGCTCAAGAAGTAAGAGTTTTCAGTAGCAGTTCTGACCAACGTAACTTTATGATATGAAGTCAGAAAAAACATGGAGTTCCTGGGAAAAATGGGAGCAGTTATCTCTCTCTTTTTTAGGAAGGAAATTTGCCTTGATTTCATAGGAATGATTGCAGTATTCTCATTTTCTGAAAGTAAACAATAGTATCAACTTTAAAAACACTCTGTTTTGCTAGGGGGCACTTTTTAAAATTTTACCATTCTCTTATAAAATGGAAGTTTCCATTTCTGTCATGATTTAACCCCAGACGGCAACCAAGCACCACCCAGCTGCTTGTTCACTCCCCTGCCCCGGTGGGATGGGGGAGAGAATCAGAAGAGTAAAAGTGAGAAAACTCGTGGGTTGAGATAAAGGGAGTTTAATAGGTGAAGCAAAAGCTGCGCAGGCAAGCAAATCAAAACAAGGAATTCGTTCACTGCTTCCCATCGGCAGGCAGGTGTTCAGCCACCTCAGGAAAGCAGGGCTCCATCATGCCTAACAGTTACTTGGGAAGGCAAAACGCCATCACTCCCAATGTCCCTCCCCGCCTTCCTTCTTCTTCCCCCAGCTTTATATGCTGTGCATGACGTCATATGGTATGGAATATCCCTTTGGTCAGTTGGGGTCAGCTGTCCCGGCTGTGTCCCCTCTCAGCTTCTTGTGCACCCCCAGCCTGCTCGCTGTGGGGTGGGGTGAGAAGCAGAAAAGGCCTTGACTCTGTGCAAGCGCTGCTCAGCAATAATGAAAACATCCCTGTGTTATCAACGCTGTTTCCAGCACAAATCCAAAACATAGCCCCATACGAGCTGCTATGAAGAAAATTAACTCTACCCCAGCCAAAATCAGCACAATGTCTTAAAGAGCATTCCTTGGTCAATCCATCTGGTGTCTCTCTACCATATTATTACACTGCTCGCTTTTGATTTAACATGACCAGGTTGCCTAAGTGATTGATAGCCACTGTCTTTGTAATGCAGGTTAAGTAGTCCTTTTCTTATAATGCATGTCTATGGTCTCATAAATCAATAGACTCTTTTTTTTTCCCTCCCTATTCTTCCTTTCCACCCACTGACACTCCCCACCCCTCTTCCCCAGAAGGAGATTGTTGCAACTTTTAAGTCTTAATTTAACAGTTTTAAAATAATATAAGGTCACAGTCAGATAACTATATTCTGCAAATGGTTGTATTGTGTAAATAAAAAGTTATCCTTGCTAGTCTGTCTTGACTTCCCATCACCATCTCCATTGCTGGCAGTTAATGGCCTTTCACATCTGCTGGCTGAGCAGCTTGTGTGAGTGCTCAGTAAGCTGTGTCAGTCAAAGTGTGTGGGGGCTACTTTACTGGCCCTAAGAAGCAGGTCTTTGTTAGTCTGGCTCACTTAACTCAAGTATGTTAGGAAGTATGTTAAAAGAGCAGCTTCATTCAAGCAGCCAGATTGAGCACTGTTTAGGAGCAAACTGGCTTTGTTAACATCTTCTGAGACAGTTGGACCCAGAAGAGGGTATCTGTCTGCAAACAGGTACCCCAGTATGTGAGTAACTTATCTGAAATAGAGTTTTGGGAAGTTTTTTGTTTGGTTTGTTTAATGGGAGGTTCTAAGTGTGGGAAATATTTCAGGCTTTTATCCACCAGCTTGGTGGGTATTTTGAAACAGCTTATTCTCAGAAAGATGGAAAGATTCTACATGTGTATAGATAGTTTTCATAGGTTACCTCTGTTATGTTGGCTGGCTTCACGTTGTGCTTCAATTTCAAATTTCAGTTACTCTTGTTATTGTCCTGTTTGGAGAAGATGAAAAGCAAAAGGCTAGTTTGGGGGGAATATTTTTAAGCAGTTCTCTATGTTTTTATTCTCCAGCTAAACAGCAAGTTGAAGCATTTTTCTTGATGATTCAGTTTCTCAGAGATTAGCATTTCTGTTGAGACCAGTCATTTAATTACAGAAAATTAATAGTTCTGCATGATTTAAATACATAAAAGTAGGGTTCTACAATAGTGCAGTGTTTTGGGTTATTCCTTTTAACCTTAATTATAGCCATATCTATTAAGCTTATTGTAATTTGTTTCAGAACTAATCAAATATATTTATTTACTATTTGAGTTAGCTACTTCCTGAAATTTGACCTGAACAACCAGAGTGCAAACTAGGAATCTGTAATTTTTTGCTTTCCTGTTGCTGATTAGAATGGTAATTGCAGATTGTTGTTGTTATAAACAAAAATAGCTCCCAGCTAATACTCTCTTGATTTGTCAACAGTGAATTTTGTGGCAGAGTTGCATCCTCAAAAAATAAGTCTGAGAAATCCGTGTGCTGATGAGTCTAAAGTATTTGAAAACTTCTGCATTTGCGGGGGAGGGAGATTGATTTTTACTTTTTTTTTTTTTTTTTTAAAGCAGAACAGTGCTGGAAATATTTTGCTGGGTTATTTGGTAAACAGTTTTTGTTTGGTTTTATGAAGGACAGTGAAATTCAAATTGCCAGCCTAAAGGATATTCAGTAGCAGGACTGCTGTGTTTGACATCCAATTTTATCTCTAAATGTTAGAATGTAACTGGTGGTAGGAAATCTAGTTACACTGGGAGTCATGGCTGACTTAAATGTCTAACACACAGCTCTTTCTCTTCCTTTTTCTTTTTTTTTTTCTTTTTTCTTTTTTTTTTTTTTTTTTTCCCTTTCCCTGTTTCCTTAAGGATTTGCAGCACTTGCAGCAGCTTCAGCAGCAGAATCTCAACCTGCAACAGTTTGTGTTGGTGCATCCAACAACCAACTTGCAGCCAGCACAGTTCATCATCTCACAAACACCGCAGGGGCAGCAGGGTAAGTGCTCCTTGCCAGAAAAGAAAATCATACATAGCTTTTTAGAGGAGAAGGTGAAACTGAGGTGGTTCATACACCTTCACTAACTGTTGATATTCCCTAGCAGAAATAACAGTATTGCAATTAGGAGACTCTAACAAGTTGTCTCTTTCTGGGTGTTAGACTTCAGCCTTGTCAAAGTTTGTGTAGCTCACTTCTCAAGGAGGATCAATCCAGAGATCATGTCATGGGAACATTTGTTAACAACAAGGTTTCTTGGGAAATACTGCAGCATCTGAATTTCTGGGTCAGGCTCTCAAGAATGAAGCCAGCTGGGAAGAGAACTTGGAGAAGACAAGTCTCCAGAACTCAAAGGCAGAATCCTAGGAGGTGGAGGCCTGGAGGGTGTGTGGGCTGTCTGGATTAGGTCAGTGCTAAAAGGGCTACAAAATTGTAAGACTGGAAAAAGATTACAAAATCAAGAGTCCTTGTGGGAGACTAGAAAAGTCCTTAAGCCTGAAGAGGGCACAGTGAATTTTGTCATAAACTGAAATAATAATTACACCTTGGGAAAAGAGACAGAATGTTTGATTTTGTATAATAACTCTTGGAAGTAATATTTTGGCGATACACTGGGTATGGCTTACATGCTAAAGGCAAACCAGGGCAGTGGTAGGTGGTAGTGTGCCAGACCAGTTAAGATGTTGCATGGGAACTTTTCTCTAAGAACTAATGTGTTCAAGTTGCAAATACATCACGGTACTGATTGCACCCCATTTGTAGATGCCCACAGAAAACTGCATTTAGCCGTGGCCTCTTATGCTGATATACTCCAGTGGTCTTTTTTCCCCCCCTTTCTCTTCTACATGAACTCTACTCAGTTGTTCAGGTCTGGTAATCCAAAGATTCTTGCTCAGAAGGCAAATCCTTTTATGCTTGAAGAGTCCTCCAGAGCCTGGCTGTCCTGTAAAGCAGTTCTTTGCACCTCATTTTCTTCTGTTCCTTTCAATTTTTTCATGCATCATTCCTTCTTACATACTATGGCTTGGATAGAACTGGCTTTCCATTATGCTGAAGCTCTCTCACTGTCTGAATGCTCTCACATTTGAATAAAGGGTTAGTCAAAATTAACTTTCTTTTGATAGCACTTGATTTAGGAGAGCTTTTATACCAACACTGGTAGAAAATGTCTAAAAGACTATTAATGGAGGCATTTAGTGATGTACTAGCTTCTTAAAATGAAGCAGAACTTACAAGTTTAACATATTCTTCTAGAAGAAATCAAACTTCACCAAAACTTAGTTCAAGGATTCTTCAAAATAGGCTGCTTTTTTTTTTTTAAATAAATTCTTTTAAAGAAACAGCAAGCACAAAAGCATTGTTTTAAAAAACTCACTGGTATTAATGTCTGCCTACATTTTTCAGCTAACTTCTGCAGGTTTTCTAAAATATCTCTGAAGATGCTTCACAAAAAAGGAAGCTATCAGAAGAAAATTATATTCATCTCTCAAAATGAATTGTTTTCATTATAGAAAGGAAGGCAGGCTTTTTGTTTGTTTGTTTAAAATCTTCTGAAGTAGAGTAACTGCCAGAAGAGGTTTTCATAGTACCTTTTCCAGGGGCCATCTCTGAAAATGATTTCTTCACTGCAATTTAAGACCTGCATATTGCTGTCATCAGTGACGCAGTGTGTGTAGAAACACCATGTTTTACTGGTAGTGTGCAGTGTGGACAACTGAATAGCTCAAAAATGTAGGAAGATTTATATTCTGTATTCTGACCATAGGCCATTAGTGTGTGACAACCTTCCAAACTTAAATGCTTGAATGGATCTAATTTTCTTCATGAGCACTCAATGATAAAGCAACATGTATGTCATAATACCCCTTATCTCACTTTTTGTATGTCTTTTCGCAGTATTTCATGGTTATTGTTAGATCTCAAACAGTGTGGTGTTATTTTTGAGAAAGTGTGTATTTTTATTTTGTTACTTTCTGTTGCAGCAGACTTTTCTGTGTTGTTCTTATCCTATCACTCCATTAGTCAACTTCATAAAATAATAAATATTCTGAAGAAACTAGCATAGAGCTTTCTTTAAAACCAACGGCATTTGGATTCTTTTGTTTCCTCATTGGTACTGCATGCAGCTTTATATATATATATCTATATGTGTGTGTGTATATACACATGCACGCATTTAATAACTGAAATGAAAATTCAGATTTATTTATAGATTATCTGTTCTGGAAGAAATCTATTGCTTTACAGACTACACTACATATTTTGTACACGCCATGTAGTCATGTAAATGAGAAACATTGTTTTTAATACAAGAGAATAGTTTTGAGGGAAATAGGTGAAGAATAGTATCTCTAAGCAAGATTGTAGAAGACGTGTAAACATTTGGTAGAGAAAAGCTTCTTTAAGAGGTGATGGGATGCGGAGTAATGCAGTCATCAGCAATCATATTTAGATTCTTGGAAGGGGTTGAAGGTCATGGCTTAGATCCAACTTCTGAAAAATTTTAGAAAATTCAATACCTAAAATATTAATCAACCATCAGGATGGTATTCTGCTATCTTTCTTCAACACACATTATAGATCACAGCAGCAGATGTGAAATTCTCCCCATAAATCCACTGCCATATGTCTAATGTAGTCATCTTCCTTTCCACATGATTTCTGGTTATTCAGTGGTTTACGTGAAACAAATTGTGAAGTTACTGTTTTTCATGGCTTGTAGTAGGTAACATCATAACTGAAGGAATTGTTTCAAGCCTCAGCAGATATGCAGAAGATTGAATGAAAATAGAAATTTGGAACAATTTCTTATTCGGAGCAATTATTGTCTCCATATTATTGTTAAAGTCGCAGGAGGAATATAGCACCTTGTACACTCTTTATACCTCTGGTATCTTTCTTGTATCTAATAGATCTGTCTCTAGAATAATCAATTCAACATCCTTTACTGCAATTATAGCTGCTTCTTAAAAATATTACCCTCATCAGATGACCGTTTGCCTTTCTACTCGGAAGATATTGCCAATAAAAATCATATCAGTAAAAATCTGAATGGAGAGGGGAAATGGTGCTGCATTTCATTTAAATTAATCTCACAAACAGAAGTTGTTAAGGTCTGAGAAAAGACTCTCATTGTCAAGGAGGTTTAGAAACAGTACTTATAAAGGAAGTATCCAGAAAGGCAAATGTGGAAGACGAGGTACTAATTAGCTTTAAACATTGAAACTGGGCCTACCTGTTCTCAAGTTATTGCTGTTTATTATTAAAGACCTTGTTTATGATTTCATTTTTTTTGTATTGTAGAAATACCTGGGATGATGATAGCAGGCCAAATCCAGTCCTGTTCTCTTCTTGCATACTTGTCCTACAGACTTTGAGACTTCACATGTATCATTTTTAAAACAAACAAAAAAAACCCCCAAAACACTAGCACATTTTTAAAATGGGGTAATGAATGTTAAACATTGATACCTACCCTGCTGGCCTCTGGTACCATAATCCGAGTGTAGCTCCCTCATCTAGCGTGAGGATGGAGGAAGATGCCTGAAGTTGCATGTGTTTGTTCTGAGATGCATCAAATCTGTAATGAACAAGTGTTCATCTCATCTGAGATTGTGCACCTGCACTGCCCTTATGGGACTCCTCCTCATTTTGATAATAATATGCTATGTGAACCAGGTAAAAGTGCTTTGGTCACCTCAATATGCAGATGAGGAGACCCAGCTCTTCACTGTCAAGAGACTCTTAATTACAGCATATTTGCTGACACAGCAGTTTAGTAAAACATAGCTGACTCAAACTCAGTCCCCAGATAAGAGGGGAGAGCTTGAAGTGGAATGAGGAACTTGGAAGAAGTGATTTAAAGGGTGACTTTTTCCCCCTGTGCTGCAAACACCCATTACCAAGATATGAATTAAATGCTTAATATTTACTGTCCTCTTTGAAATCAAGCCTTTGCTTCTAACCATCTGAACAGCATCAGTGGGTAAAAATGTTGACTTTCACCTAAGTAGTGTGAAGCACCTTTGCATGGATCACTGAATTGGTACTCTTCAAAACCACAGTTCACCAACTTCAGCACATTTGCTTCATGTTCTTGAACCTTCCTTAAAGGGTACCTGGATGCTGCAAAAGGTGCAGCAGCATGCAGCAGCTTAACATCTTAGTGGAACAGATTTGTAGGAGTGCATAGGTTACTACTTTCTCTCCTGTGTTAGATCCCAATATAATACCAACTACGAGCCCCCATTTTGGAAGATCTGGATTTGATAAAATGAGGTACACCAAAGTGCCCAGAAATTTCTTTGCAGCAACAGTGATCAACAAAGTTGATCAAATGGCACTGTATGTAATATGTGGTATGACACCCTTCCTTCTTCCCTTTTCAGTTGTTTCCAGTTAATCAAATAATGACATTGTAATGGCTTTGTCTTGCAAGCTAACTTCCAGGATATGTCTGTGAGAAGATGAACAGCTTTGGCAAAGAAAAAGCAGTCAAGTTGTTCTTAGATGAAAAAATTCACTCTTCTGGGAGATCAGCCTAGGGATGAATTATGTATCATGCTTCTGGGCCAACTTTTTAAAAATTATGCTGAAAAAATCTGCACTTGAGTGTTTGTTTTATCTTTTGTTTAATTTTAGACAGTAAGAACTGAACCCCAGATCAGTCCTTGGGGACTGTTGGCTGTCAGGAAGAGGTTTTTTGGCTTTGGCCATTACTCATGCTACTCATAGACATTACAGAAAAAGTCCTGGGTGATGGTAGATGCATTTACTTTAACTATTAAAAAAAAATTAGATCACTCTAAAGTATCATACTTTTGCATAAATCCTTATCTACCTCCATGCAGTCATTCTTTTGGAGCATCATTAGATGATTTGTATGCCATATTTAGTGCACTGGGCTCTTAGAACCCAAAGCAGAGGGTTAGAAATACTACCTCTATAAAGCTAAGTGTACAAGTACAATATTAGTTTTTGTAGATTCAAAAAAATCATGTAGGTTGGAAGGGACCTCTGGAGGTCATGTGGTATTGCTCAAAGCAGGTCCAGTTAGAGCAGAGTGCTCAGCACCTCACCCAGTTGAGTTTGAACATCTCCAAGGATGGAGATTCTGCAACCTCTTCAAGTACCTGCCCCAATAGTTGACAACTCTCATGGTATTAAAAAAATTAAAAAAGAAAAAAAAATTTTTCCTTATATCTAGTTGGAGTTTTCCATGTTCCAACTTATATCTGTTGCATCTCATTACTGTGCACCCTCAGGAAGAGTCCATTTCTGTCTTTGAAGACAGCAGTAGAATCTCACCTTAGCCTTCTCGTAAGGCTGAATAAACCAGCTCACTTACCCATTCCTCATATGGGTGTTCCAGCCTGTTAGCCACTCTGGTAGGCCTTGAATGTACAAAATCCAGGGTTTCATTGTGCCTTGTACTGGGAAACCTAAGGCTGAACACAGTACTCCAGATGTGGTCTCACAAGTGGCAAATGGAGGGGAAGAACCACAGTCCTTGACCTGCTGGCTGCACTCTTGTGAATACAGCCCAGGATGTGGTTGGCTGCCTTTATTGTAAGGGCACACTGCTGGCTCATGTTCACCTTATTGTCCTCCAGGACCCCCAGGTTGTTTTTCTGCGAAACTGCTTTTTAGCCAGCCAGTACCTCTTCTGTATTGCTGCACAGGCTTATTCCAGCCCCCATGCAGGACATTGCATTTTCCTGCATTGATCTTCAAGAGGTTCCATTTTTGCAGCCTGTCTAGACCCTGACTTCTGGCCTATTGACCACTCTCTCTGTTTTTGGTATTGTCCACAAACTTGCTGAGAATATATTTTGTCCCATCAGCCTTATTGGTAATAAAGATGTTAAACAGTACTGATGCCAGTGTAAGTCCCTAAGGAAACAGCAAAGCTTGAAACACCAGTATCTCAGCAGTTGCCTAAAAGTTGGAGTTTTGGACTTACGCTATTTAAAAGGCTGTGCTATGTTCCCTATAAGTTAAGTCACTGAAGTAATGTTGGACCGAATTGGGGCCAGTAGTTTCTTCTCAGGAAAAAAAACAAAGGTGAAGCTTAGACTAGTACAAGTCATGTCTGAAAAGGGCAAAACTGCAGCTGCCCACCCATGGAACCAAGAGTGCACGGCAACTGTCTGAAAAGACCATAAGTCAGTGGAAGAGATGCGTACTTTGCCAAAATAGTTCAGATGCTTTCCCCATCCCCTGATCATTACTTCAGTCAGTTGCAGGTTGAACTCACTTTTTCTTTCTCCAGTTTCTGCCTGAGATGCCTTGTATCAGTATTTCTTAAATGGGATAAAATGATGTAAAAACTGAGTAGATTAAACACATTCAGAATATTTTATACTGTCCTTCAGTGATAATTACTTCAGAACATGTGAGTGAGAATAAAATGAGGAAGAGTGTAGTCATCTTGTGCTCTTCAGCAAAAGTGTTATTGCCAGAAAAACATCCTCTGGGATTTCTTTGAGGACAAAAAATCACAAAAGGACAGTCCTGATTACACTGATTACAGTCATAAGATGAATCAGTAACTTGTGATCAATGGTGTTAACCAATGGACTAGAGGTCAAATGTGGTCACTGTCAGCTGCCTAGTTTTTGTTTCATTGCTGGTCAGACATTCTATAGTGTCAGTATGATGTCTTGCCCCTTGCTATTTCAAGTTGGCAGTTAAAATTCACTGTCACTGAATGAAGGTCAAAACCTCTTTACTTAGAGGTGACTGTTCACTAATTAATAGTTAGATTTGGGCAGCGGAAATCATCTTTCAAGTGAACAAATATTTGCATTGTAAAAAGCGCTGTGTAACTGTAGTAGGTAGCTGTCTTGGAAGTTCCTTAAGCCAATCCCTTCCCTTGCTGTGGCTTTTCAAAAACACAGCTGGAACATGTTGATTATGTGGTGCAAAGCAAATTTACATAGTTGTCTATGCTGTGCTATTATGTTGCATAAGCAGCTGGCTTTATTCTGTGGGTCTTGAGCATTTTGAAAGCAACACATTCTATTTAAAATACATATTCAATGCTTTGTGAAAAAAACACCCAAAACAGTAATATCACTGTCAGAAGACAATTCTTCTGTAGCTGTGTATCCCTCATTGAGGATATATTTTCTCCTTCCTACCCATGGTAGTCCTTCTTTTCATGTTTCTCATGGCCTTAACCTCACATAAAACATCTAGTTTCTCACTCAGTATTTATCAAGTCCTAAATTCCTGTGTCCCCTACCTGTATTCTGCTAAGAGGTAGCTGGTCATGAGTGGTGTGCTCTGATTGATCGTCCAGCTGATGAGCCAGAACAGACCAGGTTGAGCTCAAATTACAGAATTTAAGTGGTACGTACTTTGGTGTTCTGTTCTCCAAGTGGCCCTAGTGTCCATCTGTTGTTGTGCCGTCATTCCCCCCTGGTTTTAGGAACTTGGTATATTGAAGATGCCTGTTAACTGTAGGTTTAATTAGTCAGGTTCTTAAATTATTATGTGGGAAATTTATAGTCCTAGCCAGGAGTTACCTAAAGAATAACAGTAATGTTTTTCACAATAAAATTGAGGGAGTTGACTAACTGTAGGTATGTTTTTGTCAAGATTCTTACTCCTTAAAAAATATATAAATTTTAGCATTAGAAATGGAAAAAAAACCCCTTAGCTTCTAGTTAAAATATGTAGATGTAAGCATATATCTCAATTTCCTGAGAGATTTAATAAACCATACAAATACTGGACTGTAAGAGAATTTATTTTTAGAATGACAGCATATTGTGCATATTGGTTGCACCAGTCCCATCTCTTCTTTAATGTTGTCAACTTTTCATAATAGCAGGGGTTTTTATATATTCAGTGTAATGTTTATTGTATTTGTACCATTTAAGCAGTGTTCAGTATCTTACCTAAGCTTTAAGTTCTGATTACTTTTCCAAAAGATTCCTTCTTTATTTCACCCAGGAGGAGGTTATCCAGGCTTGTTTTGTCTTCTGGTGTGGTCTGCATAAGTTTGCCAGAGAAAGTTGCCTTCTTGTTAGGCAGCTGGCATGGGGTGATATGGAGAGGAAGAAGGATGACCAAGGAGCCAAATTTGTGGTTTTGATTAGTATTCAGTTGTTGGATTTGATCTGATTAGTGTTCAGTTGTTTATTTTTATATGGCTCCCTAATTCTCAGTCAGGTGGTGGTTACAGGAAGAGGTTCACCCAAAATCTGCAAGCTGAAGAGGGCAATAAATGATTCTTGCACACAGAACTGGGATAACCTAGCTTACAAACTCTTTCTACAGAGGAGACTAGTACAGACTTCTCCCTTTTACCCTTCTGTCACTACATACACTTCAGTAAAATGCAAGGGGATTTTGGACTGAAAAGTCCGAAGTCTGAAGGTATCTATGCAGGGATGAAGTGAAGGCTTACATCTCAAATTTTTTGTAACTTCCATTATTTGGCAAGAGCCTTGTTTCACCTCCTTTCATGTTTCAGTCCTTTTAAATGACGAACCAAACCCACGCTTTTCTCTCTCCAGGTCTCCTGCAAGCGCAGAATCTCTTAACGCAACTACCTCAGCAAAGCCAAGCCAACCTCCTGCAGTCTCAGCCAAGCATCACCCTTGCCTCGCAGGTCAGGCTTATTTCTACAGTTCATGAGTTACTTTGAGGGGATTTAAACGATTGCAAGTGAATGGGCCCTTTGTATTAGTTACTGGAGTAGATATTGTTGCTATAATAGTGAGTTCATCTTTCTAGATAGATTCAGTATAGAGCTGAAGTATCAGTAACTTCAGTTTTGTAGTTTCCACTTCATGCATTTAACATTCTAAATTTTTATTTTTAGCTGAAAATTTCTGTGATTGATATCTTGAGTTAATGGCACTAGGGCATCATTTGATTTCTTGTAAGGCTTTCTTGGACAATCTACAAATTTGTGAAGTTCTGAGGAGCAAGGTGTGTGGGCTACCTAAAAATCTCAAAAAGAGGATTATTGACAAGTATCTTTTTTTCTGAAGATAGCAGTGGTAATCTATCTTTATTGTAGCGTAGTTGTGTTGCTCTTATTGCTAAGTCATTGCCAGTCGTATTAGTTACCTTCTGTGAAAGTGAAGAGATTGTTAGAAATGGATTAAAATATTCTGTTAGATATATGTTAAAATATTAAAGCTCTATGATTAAGCTTTCAGACTGTAAGAAAAGCAATTTTAAGGTTGCACGTGCCTGCAAATTTAATTTCGCTTCACTCTGGGTTTTATTGTGTAGTTTAGTTACATGACTGCATGCTGTTTCTCAAATACCATGTAATATCATATGGTATCTTCCTGCCAACTTGGTTACATATAAGAATTTTTTAGTCTGTAATAAGATGCCTGAGTCTATCAGAGTCTTAGAAAACTACATTTTCTATTATATCACCTATAGTATTTTTCATGCACCATGTGGAAAATGGAATTTGTCTCACCTCTAGTTCATACCTCAGTTAGCAGCATGACTCCCTACTAAAGATTATACTTGGATTAAAAAAAAGTATCTAAACTACGAAGAGAAAATAAATTATATAAAGGGGGTGAAGTCAGTAAAGACATATTGCAGTCATTACCTACTATGTTTAATGTAAATTAAAAAATACTAAAAACCTTTACAGTGTGACACGTATATCTGCAATCCTAGAAAGATCATATATGATCACATTATTTCTCAAGTAATGGAATTATAGATCCTGACCTCCCTCTACCATCTGCTGTGCACTGCAAAATACTGCACTAACCCAGGAGAAAAACAACATAAGGAGCTACATAAAGACTCAGCTATATGTAGGCCATTTCTTTTAGAACAGCCGTTTCTGGAGCTTTGCATAGTACTGTAGTGTTGCATAGACTTGAGGCTGTTCTTATTTGCCCTGAAGGAGTCCATAGTTTCAGAACTGGGCATAGGTCATAAAAGCACGAAGTCACCTTTACTTAAGAGCCTCAGCTGAGCTGAATAGAATTTTTAACTAAAGTAAATGATTTGTCTCTGCTTCTCAGTTCATCTATGGCATGTAAGAAGGTAGAGTTATGCACTCAAAACATGTATCCAATGTTCCTGTTACACGTAAAGCCTGAACTGTGCAATACCACATCTTAATATATTTTGTTCACCTGTGAATATTTTCCATGATGCTCAGGTTTTTTTAGATTCTTATTATTGCTGCATAGCAAAATGCTCTGGTATGCCAGTGTTCAGGAATAGCAAACTTTGTGTGGTCTTCCTGGAAAATTAGTCTTTTATATAGAAGAAAAGTGTAACCTAAAAGGAATTATTTTCTGCAGATTGCCTTTGCTTAATTTCTTGTATCACCAGTACATTCATTCTTACTGTTGCAAGTATCAACAGAGGGGTTAGAGGGGGATCTCTTTTTTTCTTACCAGAAGAGTTGAGTCAGTCACAAGAGATGGCATTAGTGGAAACTTGCCATGTTTGCTGCCCCTGTATGTGCTCACTGTTCCAAGATTAAATAGGAGACTTGAATCTTTTGGGCTGATGACAATCTGCCACCTTGCACAAGCAGTAAATTCAATTTTGAAATGATTAAAAGGGGATGAATGCCAAGCTGTCTATAAATGATAGAACTATATCAAGTAAGAGTGTTCAGCCTTCCTTTGAGCAGCTTCTGTAGCAAGCAAAAGTTGTTGGTTATCTGCTGCATTGAACATCTCTTACTTTTCTTTAATTGGTTCTGACAGAGCCTTTAAAAGGCTGTCATACTAATGGAGTTTTCTGGATTGTGATTGCTTGTTCTTGAGAGGAATGTAAATAAATTGGAGGAACTTTCAGATTGCTCAAATGTCAAATTCATTGATCTTTCTCACAGAAACCTCACATACCTTTTCTGAATTTAATTTTTGCTGACTGTTCTTTTAAGTGTGATTTTCATCATTTCCTTGCTCTCGTATCTTAATAGCCAGCAACCCCAACACGCACAATAGCAGCGACCCCCATTCAGCCACTTCCACAGAGCCAGTCAACACCAAAGCGAATCGACACTCCTAGCTTGGAGGAGCCCAGTGACCTTGAGGAGCTTGAGCAGTTTGCCAAGACTTTCAAACAAAGACGGATCAAACTTGGATTCACTCAGGTGAGACTGCGTACCTTAGTGCCAGCCAGTATGGAATCTGAGGTCTCATCTTTCAAGTCTGGAGGGAGACTATAATTCCACCTTTTCCTAGGAGAACCTTCTTAAATAAGGTTATGCTCTGGCCTTTATGTAGGGGATTTCTAAGAAATAACAGAAAAAGCCATACATCCATCTTACTTCCCTGTTGGTTTTAAAGCGTAGCCATTTTCCCAGCAGGTACGTGCATTTACCAGCTCCAGATGTCGTTGCATGTGCGCTATTCATTCTGTAGGATGTAAAATGAATGGGACAAAGCACTTTAAAGCTGCCTTCAGAAGTACAAAGTTCCAAAAATCATACAGCACAATTAGCTGCTCTGTGTGTTTAAAAAGTATGTCACAACTGTGGAGTTGCTTTGGATGTCAAAGGATTTTTCTCCCTCAAGCATATTTTCCTATTAAACATCAATGATTTCTGTATTTAATGCTTTTGCTAAGGTTCCTAAACAAAACCTGAAAAGACTGTCACTTTGAAGTTCCCTCCTTATAGAGGTGAGCTGGAGTTGTGGTTTGTTTTGGTTTGCTTAAAAGCTCAGAAATACCCATAGAGCAGAAGAAAAGTAATCTTGCACATAGTGAAAATGGTTGAATGAGGAGTACAATTAAAAGTACAAAGTGCATTTATATGTTCGTTACTCTGTTGAAAGGAAATGCTTCTTGGATCCAAGAGTCCTTTCCTATTAATATCAAAATGAATTTTTTTCCCCACAAAATTGAAATATCTGTCTAGGTAAACATTTAGTTTTGGCAGGAGTCTGTGGTAAGCATAGGCGTGTTTTTGCTAGAAGAAATAGCATGCAGAAATCAAAGTAGGTCTTTAAAAGTCTGAGCTCAGAGCAGTCAATCCAACATATGTGATTTGTCCCCATCCCTGCCCCCCCCCCCCCACCCCAGAATAAGTAAATCTGCTCTAGCTGAAAGTATGTGCTGAAGTCAGATTTATTTTTCTGGCAAAGTCCTAAATGTTTGAAAAATCAGGGTTCATAATGAAAGTTCCTGGCAGCATCTTAATTATAACTGAAGAACAGAATGTTCTTAGTAAAATGAAGTGCATTTTGCTGGCATGTGTGCCTCCTTCCCTCCCTTCTTTCCACTAGAGGGAGGCACAGAAATACAAGTGATGGACACACACAAAAGCTAGAATAGAGCAGAACAGAGCAGAGTAAAATACAATAGCTTCCCTATAGCCTGACTGAGGAGGTTCATGTAGATCTTTAGTTATTATGTTTAATCTGCCCTGCTGTGAGATGACTATAAAGCCTCAAATAGACTTTTTAAGTTATGGGTTAACCCTTCTTTATTGACCCTGTTGTGAATTTTCATGGTGAGGAAAAATGAACGCAACTGCTCAGGCTTATGTTTCAGTATTTGCTTTTCAGCTTAAAAAAGGGAATCTTGAGAAAGTGATAAAATTGCATTTGATCGTTCCTATCCTACTCTGAGTTTGTATGTGTATAATGAGGCAGTTCTAATAACTTCTACCTAATTGCATAATTGGATGATAATTAGATACCCCCTATTACTTTGGTTTCCTATAGTTGGATAAATAGCCTGCCTTTCAGAGGATAAACAAAATTTATTTCCAGTGATACTGTAAGCTTTTTCAGACTCATGCCACCCCCACCTTTCAAAAATAATTGAAAGATTTAGTTTGCATTGCAGACTAATCACTTACTACATTCTGTCTTGTGAGCAATATAACAGGTTTTGAACTTCAGCAGTTCTGTCTCTTCTCCCACCCTGAAAAGCGGGTGATGGATTTAAATCCTTTTGTGCAATTGTTTTCCTTAGAAATATCTCCATGTTTGACATACAGAGACACAGTAAGCATACTGCATCTTAGCATTATTGCAGGTATGTGACTAATTGGTCAGTACAGATTCAAGCTATGTGAGCGAACATTTTAGACTATGTTATTTCTATTCTGTAAAAGGTATTACCTCTGCTAATCCATCTGAGCTTCTTAACAGTCCAGTACACACAACAATGATGTACTTTAAAATTAGTTTCAGTTCAGTACCGGAGCTTCATTCAACCTACAAAGTAGATCAGATGTGTGCAGTACATTTATCCTCTGTTCCGTCCATCCCTTCAGTGGCCCATCCCAATATATAAAATTCTCATCCCAGTATGTAAATTCCTTTGCCTACAGCTGAAGTGCTGCCACCTTTTGGCATTGAAAACTATTGACCAAGAAATGGTTAACTATTCATTTTAAATCAGATGACAAATGTTAGTAAGAACAACATAAATACCAGAATTAAATTTAGTCGGGGGACTGGAGCAAATTTCATAACTCTTTCCTGCCAAGACATAAATCAACTTATCTCTAAAATGGTTTACATAGCCAAGTTTTCTTCTTCATAAACCCACTAGAGCATCCATGTTACTTCGCTTGGAATGATTTATGAGTTTTAAAATGCATAGAATCCTGGCATATGGGTAGAGGTATAGATGTGAGTTCCCACATGTTTCCTCTGATTGAAGGGCATACAAACCAATTGTTCTGGGCCTCTTCTGGGAAGGAAATTGTTTTCTTTACACAACCTGCACAATTTACTAAGCTTACCAAAGGTTGTTTTCTTCCTCGCTTGGATGTGGCCACTCTGCATGCTATTAGTATACTTGTGTCAAGCTGTGGTTGTGGATCTGACGTAAAAGGAAAGAAAGCAGGCTTTTCGCACAATCCAACTAACCCACTTGCAATTAAACTTGACTAACTATGCTCAAGCTTTTCAGTCTCTTCTTCTAGACTTTTCATTCTTTTTTGTGTTAAAAAAGTGTAAATTAAAGTACTTTAGACCAAATAGCATACTTAAAAAATAATTACATTTTTTCAAAGGGCAGGACCTTCCAGCTTTAAAGCAAAACAAGAAAACATTATGGTGTCTTTAATGGCCACAGTCAAGAATGGATTGATTTTTTTTTTTTTTAAAGACTTTCCAAGTGTAAACTACATAGAGATGTGTATATGTAGATATTAGGATAAGCAGAATGTCTGATGGCTAGCTAAAACTGAGTTTTGAAAAGCAGTAACAGATGTAAAGAGATGATCATCTGTCTGTAAATCTTCTAGATAGCTTTTTGGCAGATGGGTAATGGTAGTGAAGACTACAGTTAATCATTATTTGAAATGGTTCAACTTCTTGTCCGCTTTGAAATGTGTATCTGTGGGGAGAAGTTTGGTTTGAACCTTAGAAGATACTAAAAGTTCAGATAAGAATATTTTTGCATCTATTTAAATGTGATATATGTTTGTAGATAACTTTTCAAGAGTGTTTTTCTACTAATTTGAGAACATGAATTCACTGCATTTTTGCTTATTTGAACTTTTCTTCTTCGGTGTGAAATATGCAGATACTTAAATATGCTCCTAAAGAGAGCTTGGCCTTTATTTTAAAGAACTAAGAAAAAAATTACAAGTTAATATTCAGTGGAATGTTCTGATCAGTGATAATGCAAAGAAGACAAAGCATCAGGCATTTCATGGAAAGAGTTACATGGTTAAACTGACTGCGGTTTGACATTTCTTTATGATTATTTGCTTTAGAATGAACCTTGGTAGTGCCGAGCAAGTTTCTGTGAAACTGAAATCCCACGCAGCAGTGGAGTCACTAAGAGAACACCAGAATGTGACCAGATTCCTTGCTTTGGAAGTGCCTATGTTAGTGAATCCCTTTTTTCTCTCTCTTTGTCCAGGGTGATGTTGGGCTCGCTATGGGCAAACTCTATGGAAATGACTTCAGCCAAACTACCATCTCTCGCTTTGAAGCCTTGAACCTCAGCTTTAAGAACATGTGCAAGTTAAAGCCACTTCTGGAAAAGTGGCTCAATGATGCAGGTGAATGAGTCTGTGTATTTCTTCACCAGCCTACCAAAATCAGTAGGATTCTGAGAAACCCTGAAAAACTGCTTCGTTTGTGCCCTTATGGTTTTATGAAGCCACCAATCTTTGTAACTGTCCATGGGACGAACAAGGGTGTAGGAATAAGTGTCGATACTTTCCTCTTCATGTGCCCATGCACATTCAAAATCATTCTAATATGAACTTTCAGAATTGTGTTCTGCAGCCAGCTGAATAATTGCATGGGGTGAGGTATAATATGAGTAATGGTTTTCCTCCTTCATGTATGTTAATGCATATAACTTCTAATCCTCTTCTAGCTTTCTTTTTCAGATGTGTAGTAGAGAGAGGGTTGCATGGTTTGTTGTTTCAGTAGGCAGAGCTTATTGCATTCATCTCCTCCCACACCCCTATGTGTGTTCTTTTCATCTCTCTCCAAGAGTCCATTTAAACACTCTCTTTCTCCCCATAGGAAGAGTTTTTTGTGGTTTTGGCTTTGTTTTTTTGTTCCAGAATTATTTTTTCCTGGGAGATAAGTTATTCATTATGCCAATGTTGGTAGTGTTCCTTTTTAGTTTTCTTTTTTTTTCCCACCAGCAAAAGGAGCTTGGATGGTGGTGCTAGGTGTTAGGATAGAAAGTGTTTAAGAGTGCTGTCAGCCAGTTTTTCTTTCAAGTGTACAACTGTACGTAGTATAAAACTGATGGATCTGCTAAACAGATGGCAGGGACGGTGTGTGCCTTCCTATTTTTACCAAAATGAAGAGAGCTTCATGCTGACGCCTACAGTATTCTCTGAAATTTTGAAAGTAATTGGATGCAGTGGTGAAAATTTGTCCTGCATTGAAACAAGGAAGTGTCATTCTGTTGTGCTGACAGGGCTTATCTTTAGGTAATCTAGATGTGTGATAGAGAAAACATAAAGATCTTCACACTGAGTGCTCTAGACCACAGGCCAGTGGTCCCCAAACCTTCCAGCAAAACTGGATCAGTCCAGTGCTGCAAGGAATGTCATAGTTTGCTTCACCCACTAGCCTGAAGAAATACTTGGATCTGTAAAACTAAGTTAAGGACTGCAAACAATGTCAGGGTCCTTCAGAGCCTGGAAGTTAGGAACCAGTCTTTGGCACTGATTCAGTTTCATGTAAATCTTTGGAAGAAAGATTCAGATGACTTTAAAGGCTACTTTTAGGTAAAAGCAGGCAGGAGAAGCATACCGATGATCCCTTCTGTTACGTTACATTGGAGTGTTGGAAAATGTATTGTTACAGAACTCAGCTTGTTCTGCGGGGTTTTCAGGATGGAGCGCATGTTTATGGGTGCCATTACTGGAAAAAAAAAAACCAATCTAGAAAATAACGAACTGAATGGACTTGCCCATTTGAGCCGACTAGAATGGTCTTAGGCATTGTGAACTTTGACACCTCCTTATCACCCGCAAACCCCACTGCAGTGAGAGATCTCCAGTCATAATTAATCATTTTATTTAATTTCCCTGCTGGAACCTGCCTGTTGTTTATTTTGCACTTTCTGCCTCAAAGTGGGGTCAGGTGTGTTCTCTCTTTGCTCTTCTGTGGAGCAAAAAGATGGGATTAGGCATTGACAGCTAGAGACTTAGTGAGGCTAAGGAGGGGGAGCTGCTAGCTGTGTAGAACTGCATAGCACTGAGTACCTGCTAAGATCTCCAGAGAGAAGAGGTTGAACACTGTGAAGCTGGCTATGAACTTCCTCTTCCTCTCATGTATTGCAGGGTGGGTAAAAGAAATTCAGGCTGCTCGGATTTTTTCATAATTGCCTGTGACTTACAGCTGTGGCTGATGGATAGCAGTTACTGCTTTTTTTCTTTAAACTGTGACTTGCAGTGAATGAGCGTGGGGTGGAATGAGATAAAGGAGACAGAAACTTTGTATAGGTGTTATAAAAGGGATACTGTGGTAGCATACAGGAGCAGACAGCGCCCTCTGGGCTTGTAGCTTTTAAGTTTCAAGTATATGTTGTAATTTACGAGTACAATGATTAATGCGTGTGATCTTCAGAAATCTCTATATTCTGGAAGAGATACAGAGTGGGTTTTAACATACCTCGCACAGGTGAAGAACGCTTGCATTAGACTGCACTGCATTCAAATAAAATCTCCTGATTTGTGTTACTTTCTTTTTTCAGAAAACCTCTCATCTGATTCAACTCTCTCCAGCCCAAGTGCCCTGAATTCTCCAGGGCTGGGGATCGAAGGCTTGAACCGTAGGAGGAAGAAACGCACCAGCATAGAGACCAACATACGTGTGGCCTTAGAGAAGAGTTTCCTGGAGGTCGGTGATCCTATTGCTCTGTTCAGCATATAAAGAAATGGAGAAATTTTGCTTAAGAATCGTGTCTGTTAGAGTGAACCCATTACTGTGCTATTTAGGAAAATGCTTGTACTAAACAAGGTGAATACAAAGGCTGTGCCAAGAAGCACGCATCAATGTCTGCTTCACTTTAAAAAAAAATAAGAACACAAAACCCCTGCACATCAAAAGAAGAAAAAAAGATTGCCCTTTCTGAGGATGGATAAATGGGGTGACAGTGTAAACATACATAATGTAAGGTTTTTAGCTGGCCTTATGTTACTCTTGTTAGGCACTTTGTGCAGCTGTATGGGCAGATAGCCTCTGGAAGTAGCTTGTTCAATCTACCTGTCTTTCATTATAGGTCTAGACAACTTGGGGTTCATTTGGCTATTGCTATAGTCAATCTCTCATATTCCTTTTCAAGAGCTACTGAAAGAAAGATTTCCTTATCAAGGTCTAGAATTCCTTGAAGGATTAAGTCACAAGTCCAGATCCCTTCTCTCAAAAAGAAGCACATGAGCTTAGTCTTCATCACCCGTCTCTGAGGAACACAGCTTACTATTGGTAGAAATGTTCCTGTAACTAGGAAAATGGTGGGCAGAAGTATCTATTATGGGCTATCTCTACTGTACCACTGACCAGATTCTGGATATAAATGGCCCATCCAGATTTCTGCCTAGCAAAGAAGCAGCTATAATGTAAAACTTCAGAAGGTAATTTCACAGCTTTTCAAGTACCGTTTCCTTTTCTCAGAACCAAAAGCCTACCTCGGATGAGATCACCATGATAGCTGACCAGCTAAACATGGAGAAGGAGGTGATCCGCGTTTGGTTCTGTAACCGGCGCCAGAAGGAGAAAAGGATCAACCCACCCAGCAGTGGTGGAACCAGCAGCTCGCCCATCAAAGCAATTTTCCCTTGCCCAACCTCACTGGTAAGAATCAAGAAGCTGTGTTGACAAAGATCACTGGAAGAGATTATTCTACTGTGCTCACTGTGGAAGTTGCACATGCTACACCTTCTTTGTACAGCAGACTTGTTCTCACAATTTTTTTTTTTTTACTGGCATTTTAAATATTCTACTTGCATACTATATAAGAGGGAGAATGCTTACAAATCAGGCACTTAGTTGGGCCTTCAGTTTGTGTGTTTTATTTAGTCAGTTTGTGAGTAAATATTCTGACTAGCAAATTTGCAGTTGGGGTTACTGCTTTGAAATTATTCCAGATAGTAACTCCAGTTTCTATCTGGACTTTCTCTCTTGCCCAAACTTCTTTTGTAAAATAATAGTAATAAGAAAACGCTTCGCAGCTCTAACCCTCCCCTCTTATTTTGGCTGCTCTGTTAAGTAGATGAGCAGCAGTAAAATGTATCATTTGGAGACTTAAGTCACACAAATCCAGTGATACTGTTGTTGTCACTTTTAGTCAGAAATTATTTATGTAAAAAAAGACATGGAACAAAGGAACAGTTTAGCTAATACTCATGTAATTAATTTCCCACACTTGTATTTGCCTCAGGTAAACACAAACTTCATGAAAATAAGAGTAACAAAACACATGCATCAAGGTTCCTTCAGCTCCTTTGCTACCAATGTCCATGGAGGTCTGTTTTCATAAATAGAAACAGTAGCTATTAGATTTCATAGTAGCTATGCTAATAGGAATGTGGTGGAATTTATGTAGCCTGTAGCTGTCCTTTTGTAGTATTTATTCCACCCTCATCACTGTAGTAGCTAATATCTTCCAGTACTTCATTAAACCATTAATTTTGGTGGTGTCATTCTTTCCCCTCATCCTTGTCTCAGGATGTGTGCATGCAACCTTTTGTTTCAGGGGAAGGGATGTGTTAAGTGTAGTTGGTCATCTTTTTTTTTATTATTATTATTATTATCATCATCATCATTATTTTTCCCAATTGGAAAGCAACGTTGCGTGCCTTGCTACCAAAGCAGAACATAGTGAGATTATGATTATGACAGTGTGTTTTAGTAACCGTGCAAGTTTTCTCAGACTGCAACTTAAGAAAGCTTTCCTACATAAATTTCCCTTTTATCACAAACTGCCATGGTATGTAAGAATTTGAGGTGTTAACCACAGTCCTCATTTTTTCAGTGATGTTTCACTAAGTATTTTCACTTATTGTAAGCTTCTCTTAAGACTGTGTATCCACTCAAATGGATGTTCCAGCCCTGCTGCCCCTAGCCATCACTATGTGCTTTGGTCATTCCTTGTGTCAGCTCTGGAGATTATGTGTCCATAGGATGAGTGGGCTTAGTTTACTAGCTTGACTGCAAATTAACAGTGTGAAGAACAATGATGACTTTTCAGTAGGGCTGGATAACCAATCTGACTTGTAGCCTGGCTGCACAAGTGCTCTGAATACTGCTCTGAAGCAGTATTGGAGGGGAATGCTCCTTTTGATGGCAGCCTGCTTTTGCATTGGATTAAGTTAGTCATTGTAACTGTGGGGTTAGCTGTATTAATTCTAGGTCATTCACTGCCCTGAAATATGGATTGTGACCTTGGCCTTAACTGTTCAGTGGACAGGTGACAGATACGATGCCTGGGCTGCATTTGTGGGAAGTGTGCTATGTATCTAGCCCTTCTTTATTTCATACGCTATTTGACATGGGCAGAAAGCTTTTAAATCTGCCCCAGTTGCCCCAATGTTGTATAAAATGCATGAAGCATTTGACTTCCTATAAGAGGATATGCAGCATGAGAGAGATTTCTCTGATAATAAACTTGAGAGGGGACAGGAAGAAGGTTTTAGCCTATATCCTTGGCTATGTTCTCTTGGGCAATTCTAAAGGATTCTTTTCTCTCATTGATGTATAACAGCCTTCAAGTATTATACTGTTGGACACCATTTCTTGTCCATAAAAAGTCCTTTCTCTCCTTACGTTTCATTTTTGCTCATAAGCTAGTTCTTCCAGCCTTAAATCTTTGGTGTTTTTTATCTGTAATGTCTTCAGTTTATTGTAGCTTTCTTGTAATAAGCTGTCCACAAGTAAAATTAGCTAATGCCATTTGAATGTTTTAAAATTCAGCAATCCTTCCTCTGGCACAAGGAAGCTTATCAAAGTAGAGCTTATAGTTAATTTGAGTAAAAGTGAAATGCTGTTCTTTTTATCCCTGTGAACGCATTACCCTAAATACCTTCGGTAATGCTGGGGCATTTAAATAATTTTATCAGAGAAAGAGATTTGGATCTGAAAAGATGTTCAAACAAGAAAAAAAATGCAGAAATACTATATTTTGTAACTCTTTCTGTAAGAGTGACTATTAAAACAAGGTGCTGTCTTTGGAGGGAGGCAGAGAGGGAGGGCTAACTTGCAGTCCTGAGACATTATGGATGCAATGGATGTATCGCCCTTCAAATACTCAATGATTAAGAATAGAAATATTGCTCGTAATTAGAGCAGGTACTATGGTTGGTTCACTGAATGATAAAGTAATGGAATTACAAAAAAGTTAGTTTATATGCGATGTTTTCCCTGATAACTTCCTCAGATGAGGATGGGAAGAAAGAAATCCAAGTCTGTAGGTAACTGTTTTTGTCATTTTAACAGTTGAGCAGTTGTATTCTCTTTTTGACCTCCAGGTGGCAACCACGCCAAGCCTTGTGACTAGCAGTGCAGCTACAACCCTGACTGTCAATCCTGTGCTCCCTCTGACCAGTCCTGCTGTAACTAGTCTGTCAGTCACAGGTAAGGGCTGATTTCCCTTGCCCCGACGTTAACCTATACCATTTTCCCCTTTTAAGCTCTTCAAAAGGTCATTCAGTATTGGTCACACTGGTATCCCAGGACATTCTTGTTATTGTCCCATTCTTGTCATTACTCCACTAGGAAGCGTCAGTCTTTATGACCATTCAGTTGACTCTTCTGGGGATAAAATCACAGGTGATCTGGAATGAAATATGTTATATTCCTTTGCTAGCTTCTAGATTCTAGAGCTCCTCAGCCTCCTCTTGGAAATGTCATTTCATTATAGTCTGAGTTTCTCATTTAGACTCTTGGTGCTTCTTGGTCCTACAGAAATGTGTGTTTGTCTCCTTTTCAGTTGGATGTGCAGTTCAGTTCAGGTGGGTAGTGGTTTCTGTTCAGTCATATCTGTGTTTTGTACCGATCTGACCAGAATCAATCTTCTAGGCACAACAGAAACCACCTCCAACAACACGGCAACAGTGATTTCAACAGCACCTCCAGCTTCTTCAGCAGTGACATCACCCTCCCTGAGTCCTTCCCCTTCTGCCTCAGCCTCCACCTCAGAGGCATCCAGTGCCAGTGAGACCAGCACAACACAGACAACCTCCACTCCCTTGTCCTCCCCTCTTGGGACCAGCCAGGTGATGGTAACGGCATCAGGGTTGCAAACAGCGGCAGCAGCCGCCTTACAAGGAGCTGCACAGTTGCCTGCAAATGCAAGTCTTGCTGCCATGGCTGGTGCAGCAGGACTAAACCCAGGCTTGATGGCATCCTCACAGTTTGCAGCTGGGTAAGGATGAATTTTTCACACCCTTTTAGATGAGGTGACAGAAGAGGGAAGGAGAATGTTTGGGTTGAATTGTATGGGCTTTTATGTATTGCTATTTTCTGGTAGCTAACTTTGTGATTCTAGTGTCATTTATCTCAAATTCTGAAGGTTTACTTATAGAGGGCAATTGGTCATTCCCATCAATGTACACAAATGTTTTCATTTTACAGATGAAAAAACTGTGTTGCAGCAATGTTCTGATAAGTCATCCATCCTGCTGCAGAGCTTGACTTAAGAGCTGCAACTTAGCAGTGAATCATAGAGTCTGTTCTACTAATTGTAGAATGGAGAGCTAGCCTAGACCCACTTCACACCACTGTATTCATTTCTCCATCGTGAGCAAGAAGCTGTAAAAGATGCGTGATGATGTATTGTTGACGTTTTAGTTTTAAAAACGTTGCTCTGAGAGATGACTCTTTGTTTCTTTGATTTCTCTTGATTTACATCTTTCTTATCTGAATTTGGGAGATGATGATAGCTCTCTAATGAGTAGCAGTTTCCCCAAAATACTTTACAAGAATATTTTAAAGCAACAATCAGTACAGGTCATGTATTTACAGTGCCTGTACTTCAGGCATGTCGCTAACCACTCAGCTGAAAGGCAACGTCTACTCAAGGCATCATGAAGGAAAATCTAAAATAAACTAAAATTAGCCCTTAATCTCTGGTGTCCTGTTGTCGTGTTGTGTGTCCCCCCCG